AGGAAGGCTTTTAGACTTAATTCATCCCTTATTCAACATCTGAGGATTCATTCTGGTGAGAAACCCTATGAATGTAAAGAATGTAAGAAGGCCTTTAGACAACATTCACACCTTACCCATCATCTGAAAATTCATAATGTAAAAATATAAGATAGTTTTTCAATCCTGTCTTGTAGAACACTCTATGACTGTAGTAATTAATCCCTTTTGCTTCCTTCATACAGGGAACTGACTTGGCATGAGAGGTTTTATATCATTAAAAGAATATGTTAACTTAATGTATTCCACCATCACTTAAACCTGATAAACTTCACATTTATTCTAAAAATTAATCCTATCAATGTAACAAATGTGGGAGACACATCATCTCTGTCCAGTCACTTTCCCACTTGTATTATGTTGATAAGATGCTTAACTGCTCTGTGCTATAATTTTTTCACTTGTAAAATGGTAATATAATACTGTGGCAGAATAAAGATTGCTGTAAATTCTTTGACATTTCTCTCCCACCGTCAAGAGCTGGAATCTACATCCCTTCCCCTTGAGGCTGGGCAGACTGTGACTGTTTTGACTAGTAGAAGTACTGCTGTGCCAGTTTCTGGACCCAGGCTTTACTGGCAGATTTTACTTCATTTCTTGGAATGCTCTCTTAAGCTTAGGCCCTGAATTCTGTTAAAAAGTCTGGCTGCTCTGCTGAAGAGACCACATGGAGAAGCCCTAAGACTACATAGAAAGGAAGAGCACCCTTCTTAGCCCAGTCTTCCACACATGCCTACCAAGACACCAGATATTTGAGTAAAATAATGTTGGATCCTCCAGACCAGCCAGCAGCTGAATGCCAGACTGACTTCAGTTGATGCCATATAAAATAGATGAATCTACCAACTGAGCCCCTGCCCAAATTCCTAACCCATAAGATCATGAGATATAATAAAATGATTGTTTTAAGCCACTAAATTTTGTTTTATTATTATCATTAATATTACTCTTTTGAAAAGTCATATGAAAGACTATGGGTACAACAAATAAAGAAATGCCTTCCACTAACACTCACCCTTATTGAACCTCAGATAACTTACTCTTTAAAATAGAAATTCTTTCTCAATTTGTTCATAAAAAAGCAGATATTCTGGGGCACCTGGGTGGCTCAGTCGGCTAAGTGTCTGCCTTCGGCTCAGGTCATGATCCCAGGGACCTGTGATGGAGTCCCGCATTAGGCTCCCTGTTCCATGGGGAGCCTGCTTCTCCCTCTGCCTCTCTCTCTGTCTCTTATGAATAAATAAAATCTTTAAAAAAAAAAAGCAGATATTCTATAATCTCCATTCTCTGGTCCCAGTCTAAATTTAATTTAAAATCAACAGAGTAATGTAAAAAGAAATTATTTGGAAATTAAAAATCACTTGTATTACAACTCTTGTGTTGATTTTTAAAAATACATTGTAGCCTTTTTATGATCAGACTGTCCTATTTTTGGCCAGTGGGAATCCCCTCAAATTGGTTCCTATATCCTTTTGTCATGACCACTACAGCCTTTGATAGCTTCCTTTTTTCCCTGACCAAATGCACTGGTTAGGTATGAAGTATATCAGGGCACTTATTGATAAATAAAGGGGGAAAGTGGAGCATTTATTTTGTCTTTCCTTTATTACCTATATTTAAGACAACCAAAAGTTGAAGAACAGCTCTTTATTATGAGAGAAATCTAGCTAATAAAGGTCAAAGGAATGACAATTTGAAAAATCACTTTCTACAAAATAATGGATCTTGGTGGTGATATTGATGGATGCAAAGATCATTAGGTGAAAAAGATTAATAGTAAGCTTTTAATGGAGCAGAATGACAGAACCCACTAATCTACATTAACATCTCAATTACATCAGCCAGACCGTGTGCATCTTGATGTTAATGCAATGGCTAAATGTAGCATCATTTGTTAAGTGTTCTTGCCCCAAATGTTGACCCAGATGTATACCTTAGTCTCTAAATCTAATTACCAGGTTATAGGAAACTTGGGGAATAAAGGAACAAATTAATGACACAAGGAAGCAAACAACCAAATACAGAATGTACAAAATTTCACAGAATAAATGGTCTTTTAACTAATATATGTTAAGACAAAATAAAAACAATGTTGCAAATTAAAAGACTTAAGAGACCTATCAATTAAATGCAGGGTGTGGAGTATTTTGGGATCCTTGTGTTAAAATGTACCCAGGATTTACTCTAATCAAATACGGTAGGATATGCAGACATGGAAATGACTGTCATGAAGGAAGAAGTTTATACTCAAAGATCTCTAAAAACAGGAGGCGCAGCACGCCTGCAGAGCCACATGGGGAAGTACCCAGTTCTGTTGGGAGGCAGAAAGTGGGAGAGGGCAGAGTGTGGCACAGAGCCTTTACTGAAGTTTTCCCCAGGAATGGGTGACATTGGTAAGTACACTGAGAAAGTCTGGGATTGGATAGTTTTAATAATTTTGGCAGGCTGAGTTACAGAGATGGTCCCTAGTTGTCTGGTTACCTGGCCCTGGGGTGATTTGGGCAGGAGGAATATTGGCTTGGTTTGTGAGAGTTTGATAAAGGAAACACTTGGGGAATTTGGATTGGTTGGTTTGTAAATCAAAGGCATGATCTCAGAAGAGTTGTTTGGGGCACCTGGGTGGATCAATCAGTTAAGCATCTGGCTCTTGATTTTGGCTCAGGTCATGATCTCAGGGTTGTGAGATTGAGCCCCTTGTCTGGCTCTGCACTGGGCATGGAGCCTGCTTAAGATTCTCTCCCTCTCCCTCTAACCCCCCTCCCTCTGTCCCTACCTCCTGTCCCTTAAAAAAAAAAATTGTTTGTTGTCTAGGAATTTGCTACCCCTGGGAAGGGTAGTCTCTCCAGGATCAAGTCCCCAAATGCCAGAGCATAAGCTTACAGAAATAAGAAAATATAGTCAATGCAATCCTAATTTAGACAAATGAAAAAAATTTTTAGGTTGTCGTGAAAACATAAACCTAGAATAGATATTACATTATATTAAGCAATTGTTCATTTTTAGGCATGATGATGGCATGGATTTGGGGGTGCAGATGTGGGTGTAAGTCCTTATACATTAGAGATCCATACTGAAGTATTCAAGGGTGAAATTACATCATGTCTATGATTTGCTTTAAAATACTTAAGAAAAGGGGCGCCTGGGTGGCTCAGTCGTTGGGCATCTGCCTTCAGCTCAGGTCATGATCCCAGGATCCTGGGATCGAGTCCCGCATCGGGCTCCCTGCTCAGCAGGAAGCCTGCTTCTCCCTCTCCCACTCCCCCTGCTTGTGTTCCTGCTCTCGCTCTCTGTCAAATAAATAAAATCTTTAAAAAAATAAAATAAAATACTTCAGAAAAAAAAGGTGGGATGGAGGAACAGATGAAACAAGATTGGCAAATGTTGCTGGATAAGTGTTGAAGCTGGATAATGGGTACACAGAATTCAGTGTGCTATTCTTACTACCTTTGCATGTGTTTGAAAATTTCCACAATAAAGCTTAAGTAGAAATCAAATCTGAAATTTTAGACCACTTAGTGATAAATGATAATGGGATGCCTACAAGTTAAAATTTGTGGGAAATCACCAAAGGTCTACCCATTAGGAAATTAATAACCAGGGTGCCTGGGAGGCTCAGTCAGTTAAGCATCTGCCTTGGGCTCAGGGTCCTGGGATAGAGCCTCAAATCAGGCTCCCTGCTCAGCAGGGTGTCTGCTTCCCCCTCTGCTCCCCCCACCCCCGCTCATGCTTGCATTTGCTTGTTCTCTCTGAAATAAAATCTTAAAAGAGAAATGACCTTAATGCATTCAGAAAACTTGATTGAGGAATTACTGTTTGTCTTATCACTCTGTCCTCACACTTACAGTGCCTGTTGTATAACAGGCAGTTGATTTTAAAAATTGGGGGGGAAAAACCACATTAGCTTGAGCCAGAAAATAATTTTTTTAGTAAATTTTTTAAAAAACTAAGCTAAATACCAGGAAGCAATTCATACAATAAAAGTAGAAATTAATGAAATAGTTAATATAACAGAGTTTATCCAAGGATGTTCTCTTTGAAAAGGCCGTTAGTATAGAATTGGCAGTTATGAAGGAAAAAAAGACACACAGCTTTTTATGTGAGAAAGGTGAAATAGCCACATATCAAAGAGAATTAAAGATTTTAAAGTTATATGTATTACTATATACATATATTTCAATATGTATAAAAATACAGAGAATGAATTATCTAGAGAAACCTAAATCATCAAAGTTGAAGATACTATACAAAACCTGAACAGATCTATAAGCAAAGGACAATATTGTGGTTATGATTTTTTATAGTTTTGCAAGTACTAAAAAGTTTTAAAGAATAGATAGCCTCTAACAAAATTTTTTTAAAAGATTTTATTTATTTGAGAGAGAACACAAACGTGGGTGAAGGGCAGAGGGAGAGGGAGAAGCAGACCCCCACTGAGCAGGGAGCCTGATGGGGGGCTCCACTCAAGGACCCCAGGATCATAACCTGAACTGAAGGCAGATGCTTAACCGACTGAGCCACTCAGGCGTACCACCTCTAACAAAATTTTGCTAGATCATTCTATAAGGTAAACATCCCAATAATAAAAGTAAATGAGGATAGCCTTTAGAAAGCAAAATCTGGACCAGTATCACTTAAAATACACACAAACATTCCAAATAAAGTTCAATAAATTGAACTCAACAGTCTACTAAAACAATTATAAAACATACAACAATATACCAGGAATATCCAGGGACCTGATTTGTTGTGATTTAATTAGGTATCAGATTTTAGCTTGAGCAATGTAACCATGTTGGAAAAAATTCACCTCAATAATTATTGATTATTCACCTCAAAAGTTATTCACCTCAGTATGTTTTAGGTTTTTTTTCTTATTCTCATTTATCTTAGCTTCATCAGCTTTAAAAAAGGAGTGAACAACAACAGATATGAGAAGTTGGCATTCAACAAAAAATTATTACCTTCGGGGAGCCTGGGTGGCTCAGTCGGTTAAGTCATTGCCTTCGGCTCTGGTCATGATCCCAGGGTCCTGGGATTGAGTCCCATATCGGGCTCTTTGTTCAGCAGGAGCCTGCTTTTCCCTCTTCCTCTGCCTGCTGTTCCCCCTGCTTGTACTCTCTCTGTCAAATAAATAAATAAAATCTTTTAAAAAAATTATTACCTTCCACAAAATAAAAATGAATATTATTACAAACCTCTGTAATGTCACTTTAGTCATACATTAAGACTTATACTTCCAAATCCATTTTGCTCAGGTTGGGCAGGTGTCATTGAATAATCATTCATCTAGAATAATAGACCCATTCATGATTTCAAATTTTAAATTTGTAAACAGTACAATGTTTATATAAAAATGTAACACACAAAAAGTAAGTAGTATAATAAAATTAGTTTTCACTAATCAGTATGTTTCTCCTGCCTGGTATCATTTTCATGTGAACAGAGGTCTTCTGGAGACAGTACATTAACTCAAAATTTCTGGAAGTTATGTTCCACAAGACATTAGTACTTTAAGATTTTTTTTTTACGCAATCTCCACAACCACTGTAGGGCTCAAACTCACAACCCTGAGATCAAGAGTCACATGCTCTACCAACTGAACCAGGCAGGTGCCCCAAAACACTAATACTTTAATGAAAATGGAAGAAAATAATTTTGTGGTCAAACAAGCATGGGAGCTCTGTATACTATATTTCTGGCAGGGAAAATTCACATCAAGTGCCTAACAAGAGACTATCAAAAAATGTTTCATTTTATCTAACCCACTGTATCTCAGACTTTATAGAACTCCCTGTGCTCTTCTGTACTTTACTACAGAGAACTCTACTGTATAGAACCTACTGCAGATGTGATTCTACTTTGGAAGATATTGCCATAACCAGAAGGAGTGGCTTTAAGGATGGAAATGTCAGCATTATGACAGGTGTATGGTTATCTGTATGGCAAGGAAAGCAATTTAAATTATGTTATCCAGGGGCGCCTGAGTGGCTCAGTCTTTAAGTGTCTGCCTTTGGCTCAGGTCATGATCCCAGTGTCCTGGGATCGAGCCCCGCGCCAGGCTCACTGCTCGGCAGGAAGCCTGCTTCTCCCTCTCCCACTGCCCCTATTTGTGTTCCCTCTCTCGCTGTCTCTCTCTCTCTGTCAAAAAATAAATAAAATCTTAAAAAATAAATAAATTATGTTATCCAGTCAGCTGCTTGCTTTTTCTTTAATTTAAAATGATGCTTTTCAGGGCACCTGAGTGGCTCAGTTGGTTAAGCGGCTGCCTTTGGCTCAGGTCATGAACCCAGGACCCTGGAATTGAGCCCCACATCGGGTTCTTTGCTCAGCGGGAAGCCTGCTTCTCCCTCTCCATCTGCCTGCCACTCCCCCTGCTTGTGCTTGCTCTCTCCTCTGTGTCAAATAAGTAAAATCTTAATAAATAAATAAATAATAAAATGGTGCATTTCAATAGAATAGAAACCCCCAGCACTTAATTCTTTATTAGACTATATACAATTTCTTGCTGCAAAATATTGCATATCTGTGTTCCTTGCTATCCATAAACAAGAGTTTCTCTGAGGTATTTATCAAAAAGTGGGATTGCTCAGTCACAGATTATATTCATTTTTAACCTCATTAGATAATTGTTGTAGAAGTGGAGAACATCATTGTGGCACCAATTTCCAACCCCTTCAACCAATAAAGTATTATTTCCTTATATTCCCACTTCTGGTATGTGCTTTATAGTGAGTTGAGCATCTTTGCACATCTGTTTATTGCTAAACACTATAATTTAACAGTTCATGTCTTTGCCCATGTTCCTTTTTATTAAAAACTTTCATATGAGAATTGTGGAATTCTAGATAATAATCCTTTACCGAGTATTATAAATGATGGACTTAGCTTCCCCAGATTGTGGCTTACAGCTGTATTTATGGTGATACTGTCATATTAAAATAAAAAAAATTTTTAATGGAGGCAATCATACCTTTCATTATTATCTAATAATCTTTTTAGTTTTTTACTAGACCCTTGGTTTTCTAGGCACTCAGTTATGTCAGCTGTATATGGAGATAATTGTTTCTTTCTGAGTATTTATAGTGATTATTTTATTAATCATCTCATAGAAAGAATCTCCAGAATAAGATTTAGGATTAGTGGTGATAGCAGGCATTTAGTTGTTTTCACCTATTTAATGGAAACCACTTAGTGTAATAATGTTTGTTCTAGGTTTGAGGTAAATAGACTTTGTTGTGGCTCAATTGTTTCCTTTAGTCCCTAACTAACTTTTTTATTAGAAATGCCTGCTGAATATTATCAGATGCTACTTCACATCGATATAATGTTTTTCTCCTTCAATTTGTTAGTGTGATAAATAGTACTTTGGTCATTAAGGCATTATGGTATTAGTACAAGAATGAACAAGTAGACCAATGGAACAAAATAAACAGCCCTGAAATAGACTTACATATATGTGGTCATTTGATTTATGACAAAAGTTCCTCTGCAATATGGTTACAACATAGCAGTCTTTTCAATAAATAGCACTGGGTCAGTTGTATATCCATATTGATAAAAAATTAATCTTGGCTCTTACCTCACACTACACACATATAAATTCCAGATGCATTAGTGATCTACTTATAAAAGGTAAAGCAAAGGCTTTAGAAGAAAACATAGAATATCCTTCTAGGCTTGAGATAGCAAAGGTTTCTTTTTTTTTTTTTTTGAGAGTTATTTTTTACTTTTTAAGATTTTATTTATTTTGACGGAGAGACAGAGAGACAGCAAGAGAGGGAACACAAGCAGGGGGAGTGGGAGAAGAAGAAGGAGGCTTCCTGCTGAGCAGGGAGCCCAATGTGGGGCTCAATCCCAAGACCCTGGGATCATGACCTGAGCCGAAGGCAGACGCTTAATGACTGAGCCACCCAGACGCCCCAGATAGCAAAGATTTCTTAAACAGAACAAAAAGGAACTAACCATTCGGAGAAAAATTGTAAATTTTACTATACTGTTTTTTTATTTTTATTTTTTTAGAGAGGGAGAGAGAGCACATGCACACATGAGTGGGGGTGGGGAGAGGGAATGAGAGAATCTTAAGCAGGCTCCACACCCAGTGTGGAGTCCAATGCAGGGCTTGATCTCACAACTCTGAGATCATGACCTGAGCCGAAATCAAGATTCGGACGCTTAACAAACTGAGCCACCCAGGCGCCCCTAAATTTTACTGTATTAAATTTAAGAATCTATTTTCATCAAAAGACACCATTAAGAAAGTGAAAAGAAGCCACAGAGAGACTATATTTTATATTATATATAAATATAATACAACATATGTTAATATAAAATATATATAACATATGTATATAAACAAAAATGTAAATTAATATATTAGATATATTATAATATATATTATATATATTAAATAAATATATGTATATTTGACCAAAGAGTCAACCAGAATATATAAAGAACCCCTACAGATCAATAAATGACAGACAACCAAATAGGAAATGGGAAAGAAACTCAAACACTTCAAAAAAATGATATCCAAATGGCCAAAAAAGATAACCAAATTTGTTCAAGTTCATTATTAAGAAAATGCAAAAATTAAAACCAGAATGTGATGAGTATGCACCCACCAGAATAGCTAATGAAAAAAATGTGTACAAAGTGCTTGTGTTTAATGCATCCCTACAGTGTGCCATGGAATGCTCTAGCCTTTGACAATATGTTAGTGAATATTGAAGACAAGATCCCCAGGAAAATCTGGGAAACAGACAATCAGTGTGTCCCTAATTAAGAAAAGTTCAGATTCTGATAAGGGTCATGAAAAGATACTGGGAAGGAGAATTACCACAGGGGGACAATTCAGTCGGTCTTTTCATCTAAAGTATATATAGTGGGAGCAGTACAGGTTTTATGCAAGAATAGCCAGGTTAACACTGAAAAAGAAAAGCTACAAAGGGGTCCTAGTCCTACCAGATATTTAAAAATACTAAAAAGTCCCTATAATCAAAATGATGTGGTACTCATGCATGAACAGACCAGTGGAATAGAACAGAAAGTCTATAAATAGACCCAAAAATATAGGAAATTTTAGTCCATGAAGGGATGGGGAGGTGACACTTCTCCAATATACCTTTCTGGATATTTTTTACTTTGGGGACCATGTTAATATTTTAGCTATTTATACAAATAAAGACCCTAAGTTGGAATATAAGCAGGAAAAGGTATTTCCCCACACTACAAGGGAAAAAAACCAAGCAACTTTTTTTAAAGTAAGCTCTACACCCAACATAGGTCTACACAATTTCAAAATTGTGACCCCAAATTCAATAGTCACACACTGTACTGACTGAGCCAGCTAGGTGCCCCTAACCTAAGCAACATTTGAAAGACAATTTGACCATACTCCCTCAAGCCAAAAGCAGGAAAAAAAAAACAACAAATAATTAGCTAGCTAGTAGGACTGATTTACACAGTGATATAGATCAGCAATTCCTGGGAGTTGAAACTGCAGTTAGGTTAGGCATTAAGTCTTGGTTTGCTGACATGGGTTTTAGCACAAATGACTCCATTTTTGGTCTGCTGTCTCCTTTTTGACAGGTTATAATGCACTAAGAAGAACAGAGCAACTCCTGTTCTATTCCTGCCAGATGGCATAATCAGAATCTAATCATAAGGAAATCACAGAAAAATGCAAAGTCAGCAATATTGTACAGAACAACTGGCCTTTTCTGTTCAAGAAAGTCAAGATCAAGAAAGACAAAGTTTGAGGAATTGTTTCACATGAAAGGAGACTAAACAGACAGGACAATTAAATGTAATGGATGACCCTGGACCAGAAAAAAAAATTTCTATAAAAGCTTTATTGGAACAATTGTGAAATATGAATAAGGTTTATAGATAGAACAAAAGTATTATATCAGTCTAATTTTCCAATTTTGATCATTGTCCTGCGATTACAAAAGAGAACGTATATATTGAAACATTTAGGGGTAAAGGAGCCTATGTATGCAACTGACTTTTCCGAATGACAACTGTTCGGAAAAAAAAAAATCATGAAACAAATGTAGTAAATGTTAGCAACTGCAGAATCTACATGAAGGGTGGGAATTCTTTGTGGCATTCTTGC